GCGAAGAACAATAATCGCTAAGTTATATTATTCGTTTCCAATAAATTCCTCAAAGTAGGACATAAAGTTGCGTAGGTGATAATGTGATCAACTTTCCGAGACTTTATGAAGTCACAATCTCAATTCTGAAACTCCCCCATCTGCGGCAATATTTTGAAAGGCTCGATTGTCATTTAGACGAAAGAGGCAGCTAGGAGGCTGTTCAAACCGCAATGAGATAGCGCGGTCTATCGTAGCACCCCCTTCTTTCTAGCGCGCGCTAGACCGCGCGCTCTCTCGTGGACCACCCCCAAGAGGTGCTCCAGTGGCACGCCGTTTTGGCTCGCCGTGGCTCGCTGTTGGGCGGACCGACACGACGTTGTACCTTCCAAACCGCAGAGATAGCGCGGTCTAGCGCGCGCCATCTCTGCCGGTGTGAACAGCCTCTAGGATGCCCTCCAAGGCTCCAACCCCCAACCCCCCTCCCAATCAGACTTTGAAACTGCTAAATTTAGGACAACCATCACCCACTATTCGGATACCGCGAGTTTGTCTCTGTGAACTAAATGTATGTCATAAGTGCCTCATGCAATGTCATTGATACTTGAGTACTGGAATTGCTTAGGTCCTCTGTGATAACGAGGGTTGCCGGCATTCATCTTACACTACATTAGCACTACACCATCATCACAAAGCACCACCGCGTTCGGACTACTATCGGCATCGTCATCACCGACGTCATCACCACTTTCAAAAACACCATCCATATCTCTTCTTCTCGTCAACACCATTATCATCGTCATTAAGAATAACGTCATCGTTGTCATCGTCAACATTACCTTAATCATGGCGCGATAGCTCAGTCGGTAGAGCAGTGGTCTCGTAATCCGGCGACCCGGGTTCAAAACCAAGTCGATGCGCTAGTGCCTTTTCGTAAGGTATTAATTCTCATTACCAGGTCTCTCGGAAAGGACCTAAAGCCGTCGGTCTTCTGGATGCTTAATACCAAGCATTTATGCTTTCTTAGCAGTCAGGTAAAATAACCACCACTATCGATCTATCATCATCGTCGTTGTCACCATCGTTATCAGCGAGCTTTCGATTTAGGCACTCGACGTCGGCTACTACGAGGCACTGGAGCGTGGAGAGGTTGCGCAGCTCACGTCCGTTCCCTTCGCGGCAGTGCTAACGATTTTTCACGACGGTGCTTTCGTCGGTCACGTGACCGATTTTTGAGATCAGGTAATTAAATCAGGTAATAAATGCACAGTGCGCGAAAATCTAAAACGAAGAATAACATGAGGATGGAGGATGACAGAAATAGAAAGTTAAATGATGAAACAAAAACATTACATAAGAAAAGGTGATAGAAGAATAAACGATAGGAAGAGGAAATAATAAAAACAAAGAGTAACATAAGAGAAGGTGATAAAAGGAAGAAACAAAGAATAACGTTATTTTACAAGAGAAAGTGCTAGAATGATTAAAAGACAAAGAATAACATTAGAGAAGGTGATAGAAGGAAGAAACAAAGAATAACATAAGGAAAGATAGAAAGAGGAAGTGATAGAATGATAAAAACAAAGAATAACATAAGAGAATTTGATAGAAGGAAGAAACAAAGAATAACATAAAGAAAGATGGAAAGAGGAAGTGATATAAAATGATAAAAACAAAGAATAAAATAAAAGAATGTGATAGAAGGAAGAAACACAAAATAAGATGGGGAAAACAGAAAGAGAAAGTGATAGAATGATTAAACAAAGAATAACATAAGAAAAGGTGATAGAAAAAGAAACAAAAGATAGCAAGAGGAAATAATAGAATAATAAAAGCAAAGAAGAACATAAAAGAAGGTGATGAAACGGCGACGTGGATTCACGGAAATTGCCCCAGACTCCCGTCGCGTGATTTGGAAGGGAACGTGGGCCCAGAAGCTCACGCATGCGCAGGGGATAAATATGACGTCACGCGTAGTAGCCGACGTCGGATGCCTAAAATTGAAAGCTCGCTATCATCACCACTATTATCGTCATCATCACCATCAACACCATCACCATCATCATCCCCATCACCATCATTGTGATCACTACCAGCGCAGCCTCACCATCAAAGTTACCATCAACATCACCATCATTTTATATATTATCATCATCAACATTGTAATCGCTACCACCCTGATCATTATAAACATGGTCGTCATCGTCAGTATCATCGTATTTACCATGGTATTCATCATCATCATTATCACCATCGTCAACATTTTCTTTATCAATTTCTACACTTTTATTCACAATCTTCTTCACGATCACGATAAATTCAACTATCAATATGTCTTAACAACGAGAATAAATTTATGTATTTAGCTATGAGCGTATTTTATTACATCGTTTCTTGGTTAAATATTTCAAAACAGTAACCCAATGAAAGCAAAGTGTAGCTACAAGTCAGAATTCAAATCTATTCTTAACACAACAATATGTACATACTCGCTCATCATGTTATATCATAAATCAACATCTGTTCTCTGATCGACAATATAATGACTACACAAATAGAAGTACAGTGCATTAGATTTACATAACCAACAACACAAAGTGGCAACTAGGCAACTGACGTAGTGAACATCAATCAGATATTCATCGAATGAACAAAAGTGAAAGAAATATATATACATGTATTGATTATCAGGTCCTGAAACCCAAAACATCTAGTTTATGTACAAAATTAAGTGAATAAAGATTTTAAATCATTTTTAATTTTTCAAAGCATAATATATCTGATTACCAAAAGTAAACTTCGGTTCAATAAACCAGAAGATTGTAAGTCAAATTGGAAATATTAAGAGACCGCACGTACTCATAGGTGTCTTTGGTGCCATGCCAGGGGCGTAGGCACGGGGGGGGGTTCAAACCCCCCTTTGGTATTTTTATGTATGTAAACCCCCCTAAAAAAACCTAAACCCCCCCCCCTTTGTTTTTTGTTTTTTGTTTTATAAAAAAAAAAAAAAAAAAATTATACCCACGGCTAACCTAAATAAGGTGACCTTAACCCCCCACCCCAACGAAGAAAAATTTCAAATCTCTGCTTACCCCCCCCCCCCCCCCCCCCCCCCCCCCCCCCCCCACTGAGCGACTTTTCGGCTGGCTGAGTCGTTACGATTTTTTTGGGCCTCCAAAAAAAAAAAAAGTGTCCGCTTACCCCCCCCCCCCCCCCACTGAGCGATTTTTCGGCCGGCGCGATTTTCAAATTTTCGGGAGCAAAATATTTTAAACCCCCCCCCCCCCCTTGAAAAAAATCCTGCGTACGCCCCTGTGCCATGCAACACGTCCTACTCTCTTTTTCTCTGTTCTAGATACGCCACTGCTTAATATTATTTACTTAATAAGTGTTCTCAAACTGTCATTTTTGTGTTCTTCTGCATATTTACAAAGTACTAGTCGTATATTCAGAATATCAGGAGTAGAGAAAAATATACATCAGCCACACCGATTGGACTAACACTAGACATACAATAGACCGAATAATAAATGACATGATACCACAGTCACACCAACGAGCCCAACCAAGACGGACAATAGACCGAACAAAACAATTACTTTTTGGGTTTTTGTTTGTTTGTTAACGTGGTATTTTTTTAGCTCCATCATTCACAGGTGTTACAAATGAATATTCTATAAACATTCAACAAAAATTGATAATTATATACTATAATTGAAAGCACATAATATACGACTCATTTAAACAATTCAACATCATTATAGTGTATTTTAAGATATCATTTCAAATCGACATATTGAATATACATGATAACATAAACACCTTGAGCATCTAACACCCATTAATTATAACATATGTAATATAGACAGACATAAACAAATAAGAAAGAGAAAATACAAACACAAACAAAACAAGAGAAAAGAAAGAGCCTTGTGGAGTCCAATAAACATGTTATGACATTCATGGCACTCTAATTTTCCTTCCTTCTTCCTTATTAAAATATGTATGAATATCGTATCAAAGCTTATCAACACGCTTTAAAAAATTACATTGCACCAACTGGCTGGGAATGATCGGTCTGGAGTCGGTCAGGAGTCGAAAGACTGAGGCATTATCAAGATTACGGTCAATGGCCAAGAATCGTTCGGTTCAGATTCGGGCTTGAGTCGATATGAAATCAGTGTTGAGTCGGTTTGGCGATGTGACTTATATGTCTAACTCTGTCACACCACCAAACCGACGCCAAACTAGATTTTTGGCCACTGGGGTTAAAGGGATCCAGGAACTTTGTCTTAGATCCTTTTTTTTTAAATCCTTGATTTAGCTCATGCTGCAATGATAATTATAAACCTTGATGTCAGTCAGGAACCCCGTGACTTTTACAAGCCGATCGCCTGTCTAATTATCAATATATTTATGATTGAAAATCGAAATCCAATTTTTCGTTTGCCAAACAGTTTTCATAACACTACAGTCTATTGGGAGAAACGAGTATGGTAAAAACCGGTCACTCGAAGGATTATTTATTTTGAGGCAATTCTTAAACATTTTGAAGCGCAATTTTTTAGGGCTTCAATATAACACCATATCACAGACACTGATAACACGTAGGGCCATGCATCTCAGATTTAACATTGTTAAACAATCCCTTTAATGAAATAAAGTATATTGTCGGTGTATTTGTAAGTATTGCCCTTGTCACACCAACGAGACCGACACCAGACCGTCAAAAGACCGAACAAGAAATTGGATTACTCCCAGAGACCACGAACCAATCGATCTGGAGTCCGTATTGAAACGATGTGATTTTGACCCTTGTCACACACCCAAAACCGACACTAGAACGGCAACAGACCGACACCAGAGCGAACAAGAAAAAAAATTGATTAATCCCAATGACCCCGAACCGGTCCATCTGTACTCAATATTGAGTCGATTTGACTTAAACCTCCGTCACACCAACGAGACCGACGCCAGACCGACAATAAACGAAACAAGAAATGAGATTAGTCCCGGAACTGGACGGTGCGGAGACCGCGTTGAATCGGTATGACGTGACTGGGGCATAACTTCAATTAGCATTTTGATTTAAGTACCGATGCGTGACATCATATTCGCTCTTTGTGCAACTTACTGGTTCTGAACAACAGAGCCTGCGCATGAGGTTCATCGCGAAATCATTCAAGCAACGGACTGGTTCAGTACGAATTCAGCGGTGAGGCTTACGACTTTGACAATTTGGCCAGATTAACTAGTTAACCTTACTGCACGTCATCAACTGGAATAACCATAGAGGGCAATACAAAAGGAACAATGGAATTGACGAATTTCAAAACAAGACAAGCCATTGTAATTTATAGAGCTCTTATTGAGAAGGGTTTTCCACAACTTTCTGGATTCAATGTCTGCTGCTCTTCTGTGAAATCTTGCTAACAGTTCATACCTATGTAGGGGTCTTTTGGACTTTGCGTTGAAACAATATAGTTTTTCATAATATTTAGGAGATTTCCTAGGTTAGATCCTCGCTGGGTGCTTCCATTCTTGGATCAAGATGTTTATCCGCATTTGCCATTCTCGACTCAGGTGTAAACAGGTACCTGACAATTGCTGGGGTACAAATGTTCGCAGGGCCTTTAGGAAGAACAGCACTGATGCTGCCGAGGCCTCTCTGGTCGAACAAACTAATAATTATTATATTATCATTGGATTAACATCGATTAAACCGTGTCAACAATTCCAAAAACTTGATATATCATTGTGGACATACCTATACGTAGAATCAGTTTGGACTACAGAACGCAACTCTTGATACCTGGAAGTAGTTCACAACGTAATAATGGACTCAACCATGCCAACAATTTCCCTACATAGGAACGCCCGGAAGTAGTTCACATCATTACAATCGACTCGACAATTCTAAGCAGTTTCCCATTATGTTGGACATGCCAATATGTAGAGTCTGTTTGGAGAACAGAAAGCAACTCCTCCAGATGTGAAAACTTGGAGGGAATACCAATGGTTCTTAGGCTTCTCAATCTTGTAGTCCTTCAAGAGAGTCTCCACCAGCTTCAATTTGTTGGTGAACTTTTCGATAGTGACCAACCCTTGGTCATGATTGACCCATGCGATAAGAATGAACTTGTCTTGAGTTACGGCACCGTATGGATAAGCGTTCAGTCTCTTTACTTTGTGCAGGAGTTTTTGTTTCGCAACACCTTCAAAAGCAATTATTCGCGTTGAAGTGCGATAGCTGATGATCAAGTAGTCATCGAGAAAAGCGATCTGCTCAGGTTCGACACCATTGCACGGTATCTCCCTGAAAGCAGTTCCACCTCTTGAGTGGAACACTTGGATCTTCATTGCTCTGCAGTAGCCGACATAGATTTGATCGAAACTGCCGACAGCTAGGCTTCCGACCCCGCCTTCATCGGAACCCAGTGTCGCAAAATATGCCTCTGACTTCACACACTCGGATGAGTACGTGGTGATGGTGTTGCTCACATCAAGGACAACGTACCCGCCATCAGGGAGGAATCTTGCTCCACGAATCTTGACATCGTTGAGGACTGTCTCCTCGAACTGTCCATTCTCAGATACGAACTCGATCCCTCCTCCACAATACCCTACTGCCAATCGACCATCGACCGAAGAAGCCAAGGAGCTCATTCGACCTGAGAGTTTCACACTACGGACCCTTAAATCTTTTACACAGAATTTCCCGATGCTCAAGGGGTCTTGTTGGTCTGGGGTAAATCGGGGTGTAAATAACAACTCCTCTGCACGATCACCGACATCAGTAACAAGCTGGTTGTCCGGATCATCCCGATCTATCAGACTTTGAAGCTCACCAGACAGTGAATCACGAATAGCAATGACATCTCCACTCAGAGGAGCCTCCAAGCTTCTGCCCAACAACACACTCGCACTTTTTAGACTAGCTACCAACCTTTCATGATCACCCTTCATTTTCTGCAAACGTAGGTACAGTGGTTCATCATGGGCATTAACCTGCTGGACTAATGCTAATTTACTATCATTCAACAGCTTGACTGATACTAGATACACGTTGGTGATCTCAACATTTCTGCTGTCATTGTGATCAGTAACGCGCTTCATCTGACTCTCAATAACAGCCAGGTGGGTCTTGATGGTTGCGGCTTTCGCTTCGCCTCCTTCTTGAAGTATTTGAATTTCCTTCTGTATAGATCTGTTGTATTTCCCGGCATCTTCAACAGTGTGGCCATCATGGAACAGCATCCTACATCTCATACAGATGAACTTCTTGCAAGTAAGGCAGACATCAGAGCAAATATTCTGCTGTCCGTCCGATTGGTCGTGCTCCTGGCAGTAGACGACCTTCCTCCGGAGGACAACCTTGCGCTCTTGAATATCTTTCACAAACACGACTGTATGCTTGAGGTTGGCTGGCCATTTGTTGTGATTCTCCAGACACTCGTTACACATGTTCTTCTCGCATTCCTGGCAGAAATGCACCGCCTTCGAACCCGTTTGACACATCTCACAGAGCTGCTGATTGTCCTCAACCACAGACTTCAGAGGAACATTTGTATTTAGATTTATTAAATCGCCATGTTGGAGATCTGTTACGCATCGACATATAGGACATGTTAAAGAATTGACTGATTCAGTTTGCCAAGAGCATGATTGCATGTTGGATATACATCTTTTACAAAATGTATGCGAACATGATAACTTTTTTGGAAGACTGAGTAGTTCTAAACAAATAGGACACTCCAAATTGCGTGAAATGGTCTGTTCAAGTGACGCCATTACTATACAATTTCAAAACACGAGACAAAAATAAATCTCCAAAACAATCGTGTCTTTAATAATCATAGTACATGTAATAAAGAAGTTTACAAAACATTAATACAGAAATTTCACGTCACTTCATTATCTCTTTAAAAAGTATTCTATACATTTAATGATCTGGCATTGTAAATTATACGATAAAAACGATTTGAAGAGGAAATGGGTTTGGTTGAGAATTCACACCATCTATGTTCTAACATCACGCTCTACAATATCGTCGATCTGATTTCTAGTTACAACTAGGAGTTGCTGAGAAGCGACGAGTTAAAGATGATCTCAATTCACTGTTCACCGCTCGTCCAAACAGGTGGTTGTATGCGTAAGATCCCTCACTAAAAGAGAGATAAAACAATTATGATGTCAAATAGAGAGACCATGGAAACAAATATTGGTTTTCACAGGCGCGGATCTAGGATTTCTTAGGGGAGGGGGCCCAACTTTTTTTTCAAATTTTGGCTCCCGGAAAATTAAAAAAAAAATCGCCCAGTGGGGGGGGGGGGGGGGGGGGGTAGTGAGCACATTTTTTATTTTGGTTCTCGAAAATTTAAAAATTTGCACTCCCCCCCCCCCCCTTGAGCGTCAGGGGGGGGGCCAACCCCCCAAAAAGGTAAAAATCACGTGTTTTTACATGATTTTTTTTCTCAAGGGGGGAGGGGAGCGGGCCCCCAGGGAACACCCCACCCCCACCCCCTTGGATTCGCCACTGGGTTTTCAAGGCCAATTTTGAAGTGTTTTCAGTCAGGTTGTAAACAAATTGAATATGTTTTTTTTTTTTTTTTTTTTGAAATAAATCTTGATTCAGATAAAATAATGGATAACATCGTAATACATAAATATTCATAACAAAACATGGATAACATGTCTAAATGAGGTCAAATCAAATTATATCTCTCTTTACTTGATAGCAGATTTTAAATTAGTAATTGTCTCCTTCCACTTAATAATATTTAAATTCGTTGTCTTAGTTTTGTTTTCCTCTACTTCTATTTTGTATTTCAACATAAACAAAAAATATTTGCTTATTATTCTCGTTACTACATTTTTATTAAATTGATTTCCTACACTTGCTTTATAGATTGCAAATAAAGCATAATGAAGTATTAAATCAATATCTGTAACATTCTCTTTTGCGACATGAAAACCATATACAACACAAATGGGTGAGAATTTGAAATCTTTACAGAAGGAGTTACATAATAATATTTCAATAACGTTCCAAAATCGGTAAATATTTTCACATTAAAAAAATACATGTATAATAGTACCAGGTTTATTACAGTAATAACACAAATTGTTTTCTTTGATTTTCCATTTGAATAAATTAACAGGTGTTGGTAAAATATTATACATAAATTTAAAGTTGAATTGTATCAAATAATTATCACGAGCATATTTCAATTTAAATAACCATAAAGAATCCCACTTAATAGTAAAATTTGTCTATAAGGTTTTGTTCCAGAAGTCTACCGCCCTAGATGGTTTTTGGATTAATTTTATGAGTTCCGTATATATTTTTTTCACAGTAATAGAGTGTATTGAAAATTCAAAATTGAATATGTTTAATAGACCGGAATATTTTGGGCAAACATCATTTTCATCAGAGGTTGTCATTCAAAATTGTACTTCGGTCACACAACTTAGCATATCGGACATTCAATTTCATAATACATCTCCATGGCGCATGTACCAAAATCCTTTTAAATTCACCGGCCCTTACGGAAAGGTGATCTGGGGCATTCAACTCCACAAATGGGCATTCAATTTGTCTACGTAATCATTTAAATTAGCATGCATGTTGGATATTTTCTTTTTTCTCTGAAAATTTCATTACAAAAATAAGGAATTTAATTTATTTTCTTTCATTGACCATATCGGACGCCCTTTAACCTAGTAGACTACTTGATAACAGTGTTAGTAGTTTTATAATTATGGTTCCCTTATTGCCAAAATGAATTAAAAAAATAAAAACAGACAAAAACGTATTTGGAGGTTTTTATTCGCGGGGGGGGGGTATGGAGTGCTCAAGGTAGATCTATGTTATTCCTTGCAAATGGGAGAGGGTCGAAAATGTTTCCCCATTAGTTTAAGTGAACCACAAAGCACAAATTAATCATCTTTTCCTTTTTAAATGTCGAAAATTACCCAATTTTGTATAATCATTTTTATATCGCTCATGCATTAAAATATACTCACAATTAATCTAAAAATTCAATTCTAAGCTTTAGCACTTGGAGGGCTATTTTATATACTTTTGGGCAGGGGCAGCGGAGCGTCCATGAAAGTGGGGCGGGACGCAAAAAGGGCACATTCTGAAAAAGGGGGCACTCATAAAGAAAAACCTAAAAACGCAAATACACCATTTTCTAACAATATGATTAAATTATCCGGGATGATTTCAATATTTGTTTCTCTCTTTACATGGTCCAAGATATTACTTAAGAATCATACTTTACAATTAAGTTTGATGATCTGAACTTTTATTTCCTAGCGAGTGAAACGAGCCACCATAAGATTTTAAGATTTGTGAGATCGCAGTGCGAAAAAAATTAGGTCTTATTAAGCGGTAAAAACAATTCTGATGTCATATTCTAATCATGATAGACCAAAAAGACCTTTAATAAGTAACATAATTGAACCAACTGTAAATGTGAGTGAGCGTAGCGATTAAGCTTTGAAAGGTCGGTTTAAACTTTGGGCACATTTTATGGTGAAAGGAAATGGGGGCATTTATGCAAAGGCAAAACGGACTCTTATTAGAAAATAAAACGAGCACGTCTCAAAGTAAAAGGTGAAATTATCAGAGGTGAAAAGGACATTTATAAGAATGGAAAAGGGACACTTATTACAAAGGAAAAGGGGAGCCTATCAGATAATAAGGGCGTTTATCAAAGGTAAACAAGGTATACTCGTGGACAGGGAAGGCGCGTTTATTAAAAAGGAAAAGGGGCAATTATTACAAAGGTAAAAGGGGGATCCTCTCAAATTTGAATAGAAGCACTCACCAGACATAGAAAGGGCAATGATAAGGGGGCATATCAAGGAAAGTAGGCACTTGTCAAGGTAAAAGGGGCAGGCTCCCAGATTTGAAAAGGGGCAATTATATGAGGTGATTGGGCGCTCATCAGAGGTGGTAAGGGGCAAAGTCCCCTGAGATGAGGGGCATGGAGGAGAATGGAAAGGGGCAATAGATACAAATTAAAATGGGCACTTGCCGAAGGAAAAGGGGCACCTATGAGATTTAAATAGAGGCCTTTATCAGAGGAAGGGGCGTTTATGAGATGGGGAAAGTGCTCATATTATAAAAGAAAGGGGACATTACTCAGAAAGGAAAAGGGCACTTCTTATAATGAAAAAATGGGCGTGTTACAAGATAAAAGGGGACACTTATCAGAAGGTGAAGGGGCACTTATCAGAACCATAAAAAGGGGGCATTTTTCCTATTTGAAAAGGGGAACTTTGGGGATTCTAGAAAATATGGGGAGGCACACTTTGCCCCCTGCCCCCACCCCATTCCCCGGGTCCATCGCCTCTGCGTTTAGGGTGCTCATATTATAGTGCTAAAGCAGTGCTGCTTTAGCACCAGTGCAGTGCTACCAGGTGCAGCGCACCCCAAAATATACTGATTAAATATTATTAACATAATAATATTATACGGGCTACTATAAGCAGCATAGAGTACGCATTCCTAGACCATTAGATTCATATGTACATGAACAATTTTTGTTTGTATTCTAAATGGTTTGTACATCATAAAAGCTAGTAAATTAACAAAAAATACAAACTCAATTACAAAAGGTCACACTATAAACAACAACAAATATGTAATACGTGACGATTATTGGAAACAAGAACTGTAAGAGAATTTTGGCTAATTTGAATGAACGAAGTACTAAATTGGATGCTTTAAATGAATTTGAACCTACGAACGTCATTATTTAGCTTATGTGATCCCGTGATCATGTCATGCTAAATGTAATGAACACTTAACGAAAAGCGTGTTATGAATAACACATTAATTATTGAATTTGAATGAGAAACATGTTAATTCGACTGACAGAAATGCAACTTTGTAAGCACAGATCAAAAATTTGAATTATCGAATAGCAAAGCCGGGCTAGATTATTTTTGATCGAATGCACGCCAAATGAATTATATTGGTGTTGATGTTGCAGAATTGGACGAGAAAAGCTATAACAGAAATATATATTTCTCAAAAACTAATTTCAATAACCCAACGTAATTTGTAATAACAACACACGAGTTAAGTAGAACACGCAAAATGATGCAAAATGACGTGATTTCATCATTTCTTTTTACAACCCACCAGTCAAAAGAATTTTTGAAAAAAATCAGCATGAACTTCAAATCTATTCTAGATTATTTTTCAGTTTGATTCAATAGTTGATTCAATAAGCCTACTCTTAGAAATATTTAAAACTCGATGCTTTTTTTTTCTGAGACGCCGTGTATACATGACATTTGAAGAATTAAAGAGGTTGAATGTAACTCACCAGAATCACATGCACTGACACGGATCTACACCTCATCCGAAAACGTTTAATACCAACAGGAAAGCGTTTCTTCTGACCACTCTAGAAAAGTGAACATATTGAGATAACAAAATAATAATCAAACCTTTCAAGGTCATTTTGGCATTATGAAATATATATGCTTCGACGGCAAAATGCTGCGTGATCTTAACATAATTCCAATTTCAACCCTGAACCATAGCTAACTCTAACGCTAATTCTGACGTAAGCCCAATTGCAACCTAAATAATCATTAGCCTGTCTTGTAAAAATGAAGCCTGCTGAGCATTTGACGGAGCACCCATTAAAGCAAACTTGACGTTATGAAAATAAAGCAAACACACAGTAAAAGTGATTGACTAATTGGTGATTTATTTTCACCCCATTGCTCAAAAAGCGATTTACGTTTGTAGCTAAGCAACCAGGGAGACATAGCGCATCAACTGGAGTTTCGAACCAGGGACCACCCAGTTACGGTACATCTGCTCTTGGGACTGGACTATTAA